CCCGGTCCCCCCCTGGCGCCCGGCCCACGCCTTGCCCCGCCGATCACCCCCGGCGCGATCGCCCGATCCGGCTGAGTCCGCCTCCGGGTCGCTCGGCCCCGGGATCCCGCCCCCCGCTGGGCGCTGGGCGGGGACGCGTGTAGGGCCGCCGCCATGGGCCGGGGAGGAGAGGGCGGGCCGACTGCCGGCCTGCCGCGCAAGATGTCCTTCGAGAAGCTGAAGGAGATCGGCGGCAACGTGAAGCAGGACCTCATCGTCCTCAAGTCGATGTGGTTCTCGCGTAGCAAGGGCGAGGATCACGCCTCGCGCCTCGAGTCGTTCTACAGCCCGCAGGCGCATGCATGTACGCCCCCCCTCCCCCCGCCCCTCCTCTCCCCTCCCCTCCCTCCCCGCCGCCCATGGATTCCGAGTCCAATCCCAACCTTTGAGCGATGTCGTCGCTCGCCGAGCCTCAACCTCTCGCCGGGCCCCGTGCCCGAACCCCCGGACCTTGATCCCCATCCCCAAATTTCCGTTGCGTTTCGCGGCCCTCTCAAGATGGGATCCCCTCAGATCTGCGCCCCCTAGCCGCCGCGACCGCCGCCCACCTTATAACCCCCCCCTTGTGCCCGCACCCCAACACGTGGAGTCCCCCCCTTCCACCTTTTCCTTTTTGCGCCATGATTCGTTCCTCCGCTCATCGCCAACCTGTGCTCATCCTGACCGCCTTGTGTGTGTGCCCTGGGACGCCTGTGCAGACGACAGGTTTCGCGCCAGTTTTCTGTGGGGCCGGCAGCCCATGCTGGCCACCACCTCAGCCCGCATACGCGACGTGGAGGACGCCGTGTGGGTCGACCTGGGCGGCGGCACCGGGGTGAGTTCGCATCCCTCCCACCGCCTCGCCTCCTGAACGCCGCCCGACGCCGTTCATGCTCCTGCCCGGGGTCCCCCGTTCGCTGCGGTGTCGAAAGGAGAATCCGTTTCGCCATTCTCGAGTCCGGAAGAGTCCGGGGACGCCCGTCGCGATTTGGCGTCCAGCGGGCCGTCCGCGTCGCAGGCCCTCGAGCCAGGGCCCCCCCTTCCCGTGTTTACGCGATCCAGGCCGTGGGCGCCGGGCGGGGCGCCCATGCTCCCCCTTCCCTGTCACGTGTCATCCTGCGTGACGTTAACCACAGGCCGATCTCCCCCCCCCTCCCCGGCCGCCGCCCGAAACTTTCTTACTGCCACGGCTGGTCCCAACCCCGTGCTCGCTCAAGGGGCGGTAGCCTTCAGGCTGCGCATCTGCCCTCCCCGCCGCCCATCCCCTCCCCCTGGCCGATGGCCCCTTTTGACAGCCGCCGCCGTCCACGCCCCTGTGACTAAGGATCCGCAATGCCTCCGCGGATGCCCACGGCGCCGGCGGGGAACGCGGGGCGCTGCGCCGACTCGCCGACGCGCTCCGAAGGCCGTCGGACGGCCCAGGGATGCGATTGGCGCTGCATGCCCGCGATGCCCCCCCTTTCCTTATGCCGCTGACGCGGCATTCAGGGGTTCACCCCAAACCAACGGGGGGGAGGGGAGAGATAAAATTGGTAACAAACTGCAGGCGGCGATCACGGGGCGCAGTTAATTGTGCCAGTATTTCGGCCGGAGGCCGATTGTTTCGTCGAAGGCGGGACGCGGGCACCAACCTCGCAGTGCGCTGGGTCGCCCGCGCATTGGGCGATGGCGGTCGCTGCCCCGCGTTGAGCGGGCCGCGTGGCGGAGTGCATGGACGGCGGCTCACGCAATTGACAGGACGGTCGCTAGCGCGTGGGCCAGTGGAATGTCTCTCGTCGCCCATGGTGCATTTGGGGACCAGTTGCGTCGTCTGCTGCATTGTGGAAAAGTTCCGAGCAGGGTGCTCTCCAAGCAAGGGGCTGCCTTGGCCTGTTCTGCAGAGACGATCTTGGGCGCGTGATTTTAGCCCACCGTTCGTCGCCACAGCGCGTGAGCAGCGGTTTGCGGCTTGCTGGCGCATGCATACAGGGAGTAAGTCTCGTTGATACTCCGCATGGCGGCAGTGTGTCAGATGGCCCCGACCACCTTGGTCCCTGGCTGGTCGGGGCCATGGAGCAGGTCTGAGCTGACAAAATCGCTTGGAGCAGCCTCTCCACTGGGTCCGTTATGTTCCATTTGCCTTGGCAAGCTGAGGTGCGGCCCTGGGACCTCGCAGGTGTGCTGTGGAGGCACGCAAAACGCATGTTTGTCGCCGTTCTGTCCTTTTAGCGCATCTCTGCTTGCCACCCGCCTGCAAGAAGCGCAAACACCTGCCTCCATGGCCGCCTGGTCGATTTGTGGGTTGTCCCAAGTGGATATCAAAGAATGGCGAAAGTCATGTCATTCCACGCAGAACCTCCCTTCTGTCAAGCCAGATGACTCTGGACAAGACTGCTGGACACTGTAGCACCTTGTCAACGGGTTGCCGATGGTCACAGACAGGGCTGAATCCTTGCCACCCACTTTGGAACGATGGATGGACTGTCCTTCGTCACACTGGATACACGAACCTTCCCCTACTGTCTGCCACTCCCGCGACAACCATGCAAATAACCACACGCATTGAATTTGCAAGCATATTCGTTTCGCAAGAGTAATCTGACACTACGATCCAAGGAAGTCGCAACGCAGAGACAGGGCAGGGCAATGAGCACGAGCTCAGTATTGGGCAAGAAACTTGAGTGGAAGAGCAGAGGAAAAGCATGTGGGCACACACGGCCGCAATATCGATGCGAATTAGGCTGGCACTTCCCCAGGCTGTTGAGAATGATGCAAAAGTTTTCAGATGCAGACTGAACAAAACATGCAAAGAATAGCCAAGCTCATACAACGACCATCTCTGTGTGACCCTATGTGCTTGCTATCGTCAGCAAGGTGGTGGGCTATGTTTTCACGTTTTTGAGCACATCTCATCGTTCATTCAGCGAAATGCAAGCTGAACGGCAGTGGTCATGGGGGACTACAGGGTCATTCCTGGAGCTGTGTTTCTGTATGGAGCAGTGCTGACTTGCCCACCTGCATGTCAGGAAAATCGATTGTCTGCCAACTGATCAGCACATTCCCAAATGGCTGAGGTCATGAAAGGTTGCCTGCTGGACAGTTGTTAATCGTGCATTCATAAATATGGTGAACAAATGCCTCGCATTCCAGGGCGATGGTGAGTATTGGTTATTTGCTGGCATTGTGGAACACTGAACTTGGGCACTGGGCTGCCCCCCAAGCATCCGGTCAGTGCTGCGATCATCTTGCTGAGAGTTTCACTTTGTTCAGCTGGTGCCACCCTTTGCATACCCAAGTCCAAGAGATGCAGCAGTTGCTGCAAACATGCATCAAAGTATGTTCAGACACGGCACCAACAAAAGCTATATTGGAAGCCCAAGAAGAACACAAGATCAGCGTACAGCAGCCAGCAGAGGCTGTGCAATGGAATGAGAAGATCGTGTCATGCTGGCATTGGCCTATTGACATTCTTCATTATGGGTTGTGTAGAATGCACGTTGATGATGTATGTGACGTTGCTGTGCAGCTACTGACCAGTAACTGATCTGCCTGCAGGAGAATGTGGACATGATGTCTGAGTACATTCCTCTCAAGCACTTCAAGGCCATCTACATCGTGGACCTGTGCCACTCGCTGTGCGAGCAGGCCAAGAAGAAAGTGGAGCAGAAAGGCTGGAAGAATGTGTATGTGGTGGAGGCTGACGCATGCGAGTTTGCACCCAGCACCAAGGCGGACCTTGTAACCTTCTCCTACTCACTCTCAAGTGGGTTTCCTGGAAATTTCTTGTGTTGCACTCACTTTGCCAAGAATTGTTGGGCACTTGGCACCTAGCACTGAACTGCATCCAAGCCACCCATTGGATACGCACATCCCAACCACTGCTTCGTTGAAAGACGTTTGAGTACATTCATTTATCCAGAACGTTCCATCATTCATGTATCCAGAACATTCGATTTTTTTGTCCCTCAATTGCAAGGTCACCGTAGTTTCAATTGGTAAGCTTGGGTTGAACAGTGGCCCCATTCTTGTTGCCTCTAGTCCTGGATCCTGGCTGCGATTCCTCCCTATAGGCCAAACCAAATCGACAGGATTTGCTGCTGTTTCAAGAAGTTTCATGACAAACTAGGGAGTGTGGGAATAGTTTTGTTGAGGATATCCGCGGTCACAATCGGCGATGCTTGTAACAGGTGCAAGGGCAGGGTTTTTTCAGCGATCATTCTGAAGAAATTGAACATTTTGTTGGTCTGCAGTGCAAAACATTGTGTTGTCCCCCGCAGTGATACCCCCATTCCACTCCGCTGTGGACAAGGCCATCTCCTACCTTAGCAAGAGTGGCTACGTAGGCGTCTGCGACTTCTATGTTTCGAGTAAATACGATCTCCCCCTGCGGCAAATGAGCTGGTTCAGAAGGTTCTTCTGGAGGTGAGCAGGGCCCTCTTGAAGTTGGCAGCTGACGGCATGTGTCGAAATGCGATGGGCGTGTGTCGTTTCAGAAGTATCTTGAGCTGCTCAGGGCAAATACTCAAGCATGATGCAGCAGTGCATATACTCATAATGTATGTAAGCATTAAGTGTGCAATTGTACAGTGACTAGGCAACATAAAATGCAATACAAGCTGCCCTCTGTAGCAGATGGCCTGGGCTTAGCGATCTTGTGGAGGCAAGTTTTTTCTTCTGAATTTTACGTTTGTCGAAATGCGGCAAGGCATCCATTGGCAGGGTTTGAATGCTTTCTTGCGACTACGAGATAACTTTTGTGGAGTTGCCAGTTCTATATGTCCTGCAAGAACGCCACAGAGCTCTGCCCTTGTTCGTTTTGAGGCTTTCCGACGCCTCCTGTGCTTTTAAGCAAGAAGGCTTGAAAAGGGCTGAACCAGGCGCAGGGGCATTTGGAATTATATCGATTCTCCGATGTGGGCACTGGGGACTCAGATTTTCATCATCATCATTCACAATGCTGTGTGTTTTGACACATTTCAAGATGGCTGGTTCTGAAACCTGCAGATCTCAAAATAGGCATTCTGTGGGCGCGCGGGTTTTGTGGTTTTGGTTCTGCAGCTGCATGGCATATTGCGTGCCCCCCCTATCAGCTGGGACTCCTGCATCGTCAGTTGCCCTGTGAATCAGGCACTCAACAGCATTTTGCTCACGATGGTGTTGCCTGTGGTATGACTTTCTTGTTGCCATGTGTCTCGGCTCATGCTTCGTGCTTTGTGCCTTGTCCCTTTGCAAGGTCCATATTTGACACGGACAACATCGACATCGGCCCTGAGCGACGGAATTATTTGGACCACAACATGGAGCGAGTGTGGGAGTACAATGGGCAGGTCAGCTGATGGACACCCCATAGCTCGAGAAGCTAGCAGCCTCCAGCCATAGATTTGTAGGACCAATCGATCAGTCAGTGCTGGTATGTGCCAGCACTTGCTGGATGTAGTCGACTATGGGCATAAACTGTACTGACTCACAGTGTAAGTTACTGTCTGGCAACTTAAATTGGGGGAGGGTAGCTACGAGTTCCAATTTGATCCCATCGGTCAGCCAACAAATGTGGCAACATCCTGCGGGACGTAAAAGGACCGGATCACTCTTGACACAGTTCGCTGAACTAACAAGTTGCAGGATGAAGCATAGTTTTGGGACATGTGTTGGAATTTCGTGTTACCCTTCATCACCTTTCGAGTTTTGGGGCACATTTTCTGTTTAATGGTTTTAGACAGAGTCGTTCAATGAACTGCAGTGTCATTTTCTGACGTAATCTTTATCGAGTCCCTGGTGCTGCCCCCAGGTACGCTCTCAAAATGGATCAGTGGGAAGAGCGAACGATGATTTTTGATATGAAATAGTGCATGAGCAATGTTGCACTGTTGGTCGGAATGACTGGAATGCCATCTCCAAATATGCCAAACATGTCCAGAAAGGACAAAAGCCAGAAATGGATCCCTTTGGAAACCGCTGGGAGTCATGTGGCTTGAGTTCCACACACCATGCACTTCAGGGCAGTCGAGCCCATGCTCAAGCAGCTGCCCTGTTTTGAGCGAGATGTGGTGCATGGTGTGCATACACAGCTCACATCATTTGGTTGATGGCACAAAAGTGACTGAGTGGGCATCCATTAACTGTCAGCAAAATACTTTAGTGAAGAAGTTTATAATGGCAGCAAGTGATGCAAGGATAATGTGTACCATAGTAACAACCGTTGCATTTAGAAACTCGCATAATTAAAACTCGCATGGTAAAAACTAGGGTCCTGATGTGTCAGAGCTTTTCATGGAAAGCGGCACTGGCTTGCCGTGTGGCCTGCTGTGCCTGCTCAGCAATTTGTCATTGAGCTAGTCAGTTTCTGCTAAGTTCAGTTAGGGTCTGTTGGCCTTGCGTTCTAGTTTAGTTGGCATGTGGCTGTTGCAGCATGGAGTTAGGGAAGAACTGACATGGCTGGTTGGCTCAGGGTTCGATTCCTTATGTCCCCTACCTGCGAGCCCCCTGGTATGTCTGGGTCGGCAGATTGAAGGACGCCCATGCAGGTTAGTTTGTGGGTCTGCCCTCTCTCTACCAGTGAATCTGATGTGTGCCACTGGTAAACATGTTTGTTTAGCATTCTAGCTTCATTGAGTTGTGTGCACTGCTGCATTCGGGACCTTGGAATTTTGACTAAGTGGAGGTGTTGGAGAGTCCACGACAGAGAATGTGAAAATTGTTGGGATGCCTGCTGCCGCCTTGAACCAAATGTGCAAGCCCATGTACAGCGTGGTTGGCCCCCATGTTATGGCAGAATGAATGTGTGCCCTCCGATTCTGGGAAGGAATGACCATTGTGTTGACTGAGATTGCTAATGTGCTTTCCACCGTTCTGACTCCTCTCCAGTGTATGCTGGGCCTTAAAGGGCATCGCCGCCGTTGAGCAAACCAATCATTACTCATCAGCAGCCCTGGTTGGACGTCACACTTACAACCACCCCAAAGGCTGAAGTGTGACCGAGGCAAAGTGTGGTAACAATTTGAGTGAGGCTGCCGTGGGGGTGCCAGCAATCTGTGCCCAGGTATTTAATGGGGGGCGAGGAGGGAATGCTCGCAAGGGCTACTCCTAAATAGGAAACCTGTTCTCCTCATAGGAGCACTCATATTATATCAGACTATGCAGGGGCAGGAGTGCCCAGTAGATGAATGCATGGCTTATGGTTTTGGAATTTGGATCGCTGTGGGTTATGTTGGGTTCCCTTCAGCTGAAATGTTGCAGCACAATCAGGAGGGCATTGAAGTGGGTTTCACTGCATTGGGGTAATTTCTCTGATCAAAGCCAGCTGCAAACGGTGTTAGTAATTTTCCCGCATTCCAAACGTGCAGCAATGGCTACAGTGATGTCTACAGTGATGTCGGGGCTTAGCTTGCAAGTAGGCCATGTAGTAATGAATGCAACACGCAACCCGAACAGTATATGTTCGGTAGACGTTTCGTGACATAAGTGGAGACAGGCAATGAGGGCAAGGGTATTGGTCTTCTTGGATCCCGGCTATGGTTTCTTGGTTCAGATCTGCTGCTGCTTTGGACGTGCCAAATGCTGTGCATGTATTCAATTGATGGTTTGTCGTGACAATACCAGGCTTGCTCAAATCCTTTTAAGTCAGAGGCGGACACATGGATTTGGGCTGCTGGGAATTGAGTTCGAATTAGTGGTACTGATGCATTCAGTGTTTGGAAAAGCTCTGTCCTATTCCCCAAGAGTCTCAGATCCTCATGGACGCCACCCCTTCACCAAACACTGATGCTGCAACAATTCTGTCTTCATTATGCAATCAAAACATGCATTCGAATTATTGTTTTGCTGCTGTGGTGGCCAATCGTCTTTTGAACCACAGTTGTGTCTCGATGGCATTGTGCCTTTGACCCATTGTGTCATTGATCATGCAGGCTACACCGACCACGAGGCCAAGGTGGAGGCACCACCCCTGTTTCCGCCCACCTTCCTGTACAACATGTCATGGGAGGACCCTGAAGCAGACATGGATGTACTGGAGCTGAGCGAGAATGACAGGCTGCTGACACTCACCAGCGGCGGCTGCAACTCCCTCAACCTGCTGCTCCAAGGCGTCAAGGAGGTAACCATTTCTTTCTTTTTTTTATCAAGGAGAATAAGAAATTGCAGACGGATAGTTGAAGTGGAGTAAAGCACAGGATTTAGCAATTGTGCTGCAGCTCCCTCGATGCTTTCAGTGGTGTTAATGATTTTGCATGTGGCATCAGTTCAATCAAAGAACTGTAAGGTATGTCAAGCCGACTTGCTGGCTACCTCCCCCGGTCCACCTGTTTTCCACAAAATAACAGCATTGAAAAGTGGCCTTGTCAGAAGGAGATAGAACTGGTGCCAAGCAAGGGATGAACCGCGTGGGTGCATTGAGCCCGATCTCATCCACAAGGCTTTATGGAGGCACTACTCCACGCTACTAGTACCATTCGCAAGTGTGTATGCTGTCACTGTGCATTCCTTGCAATACATGTGTTGTGATACCAGCTGGTTTGTGCACAACTGTGCCTAATAACGACAGTGTCGATGTGATGTGCATCCAGTGGCTATGCCTCTGTGTATGCCTGAGTGTCGTTCGTTGAAGCGTGGTGGCACTCCAGGTTGTGTCGGTTGACTGCAACCCTGCCCAGACGGCACTCCTGGAGCTTAAGGCCACTGCCATTGCACGGCTGCCCTACGAGGACGTCTGGAAGATGTTTGGCGAGGGACGCCACCCACAGATCGACCGGATCTACAGGCACCATCTTGCGCCCTTCATGACAGAAGTTTCCAACAAATTCTGGAACAACAAGCTTTACCATTTTGAGAGGGGCCTGTACTACAGTGGATGCATGGTATGTGGCTATGTCAAGCACTTCCTTTGTTTACCCATTCATTGCATATTTCATGTGTATTTAGTAGTTAATTATACACAAATCCTTTTGATGTCATGTGCCAGTGCATGACCAAGGCTGCTGTCGCATCTGTCAGGCACCGGTGGGTGCAGCTCTTTCCTCATGTCCTTTGCTGCCATGTTTTGTTTATTTATTTACTGTTCTTGGCGTAAGTCCATTAGTTTCATGTGCCACATCATTCAGGTTGCCAAATGGATTCATGTGGGTTCAGATCTTTTGATGTTGTCACTTGCTTGCTTACTTTATTCTTGTGGCGTGGTTGCAGGGAAAGCTCTGCTGGGCATTCCGGATTCTGTGCAGCCTGTGTGGGATGACAGGCACGAGGTTGCGCCTGGCTAATGCCAAAACCCTTGAGGTGAGACACGCACCTTCTCCTCTGTACAATTTGGTCGGTTGACTCGATTGATTTGTTTAGTTAGTTAGTTGTTTAGAAAGTACATTATTTCATCGCTTCTCTGCATGTTTCATGCCTTCATCCATATCCATCCAATTCCCCTTTGGGATGCCTTTCTGCCATTGGCTGGGTTGCCTCACCCCCCTGGCAGGGTGGGGATCAGAAGGCTGGACTTGAAATCCTCATCAACAGCCCTTATGGGCCGTACATCGCCCTGCACTTTCTTGTACATCCCTTTCAGTGGTCCAAGTCCAGCATTGCTGAAACAGCGTGGCGATTGGACTCTGAAAATATAATTTCGTTTTGGAATAGGAAGCAAAGACGCACTTGAAGTGTGGTGTATGGTGATTGGAAACTGCATCGACGGCAATTCAACCACCCACACACACATTCCTGTATGGTGGCATTTTAGGATCAACAAGACATTTGAGCAGTGTATCTGTGTGTATTGCAGTGCTTTGTAAGTTTATGCATCAGCACGACTGCTTATTGCCATCTAGTGAACGTGGTTTGTATTGCTACAGAATTTACTCATGTAACTTATTGTGTAGTTCTAATTGTCCAACGCAGTATCGTTGCCGAGTACCATGCCCTGTGCCCACTTGCATGAAAGGGTTCCATACAATGTCTGGGTGCGCAATTTAGACGTTGCTATATTGTTAATAGCCACATGAACCACAGAGAATGTAGCTTACCAGCAGTGCTACATTAAATGTATCCATACATCGAGTCACTATTAATCAACAGCGCTAAATCACTTGTGCTCACCATCGGATTTTCTGCAATCTGCAGGAGCAGCGGGAGATCTGGAACAAGATCTGGATGGTGCGCTTCTTCAAGTACGGGCCCCCCTTCCTGGTGTGGATCGTGCTCAAGTTCCTGACTTGGATCTTCCTGAATCGGTTCGTGCTCTGGTTTGGAGGCGGTGTGCCCACGAAACAGTATAAGCTCATCCAGAAGGATGGCATCTCCATATCCAGCTACCTGGCAAGGACGTTTGATGGTGCGTGCTCTGTTGTGGATCTTGAATTTTCCCTTCTGTTCTGAATCCCTTTGCTTAAAATTGCCTCTTGAAGGCAAACTGTGCATTTCGTGCTGCTTCGATTCATGAATCAAGGTATCCTTGAAAATCTGGCACACTGGTATCGTCACTCTCCCCTACTGAATTCAAATGGTCAGATAACATCCACTTCCTGGAGGCCTGCAGCGGCCTCACAACCATTGGCAAAAAGATACGCTGACCTCCAAAGTCAGCAGAGCTTACATGTCCACATGCAGCAAAGCACCCACTGGCTCGAGTTCATGTGCTTGGCATCCATCGCCTCTGGTGGACAGTGGTGGGCATGCGGTTGGGGTTGTCAGCCGGTTCTACATGATGTTGTCTTGTAACGAGACGGTTTTGAATTTTGACATCCAATGGCCTGTGAGGGTTGCTTGTGCCGTTTCAGTGTCTGGGAAAACACTGTGGCAGCGTTGCAGCTGCAGGCAAGCTGGGGCTGCCCACCTGAGTTCAGCAGAGCCACCTGCTGGCTTCAAATACCATTTTTCGGTCAACAGGGCAATGCTTAGTACTTTATGGTACCTGTTTGCACCACGATTTCTTGATTGTGTGCTCTGAATGGGTGGTTCGCTTCACTCTGCAGTGATACATAACACTGGCTTGCAGGATCATTATCTGCTGTTGTAGCAGCGCAACAGGTGTGCGTGATCATATGTCTGTAGGCTGTAAATGAGGCATTCTGTTGCTCACCTTTCTGGGATGCGGCCATGCTGTGCTGCCGTCAGCCGTTGCATATGCAGATGTCATCGTTGTTTGTTGCGTCTTTTTCTTATCGTGACATGTGATAACATACGTGTATTTCTCCGATGTCCTGTGCTAGGTGTGGCGCAGCACTCCCACTTGCGCACGCACAACCTGTTCTACTACAGCCAACTGATGGGCAGGTACAACAAGGAGAGCTGCCCCGAGTACCTGAAGGAGGCCAATTTTGAGAGGCTCAAGGCGGGCCTGCTGGCCAACCTGACAATCAGCACGGGCTTCTTCAATGACGAGCTCAAGGCCAGGAAGTACACCAAGGTGCGGGCAGGAACGGGATGAAAGCATGCCAGGAACATACTGTACCTGATCTGATGTTCGCGTTCAGGGCGGTCTGACGACGCATGAGGGTTATTCTCCGTGCAGACGTGGTTAGAATGGTCGTTGTTTCTGTGAGAAAAAACATTCCTTGGGGGGTGTTTGTGCTCCATTGGGGCGGATCTCGTGACAGAATTTCGCCCCAAAGTCGTGTGTGCTGATGAGAGTTTTACACACATCCAATAACGAGACCGTCATGCGTCCGTGATGAACATTTGACTCCACTTCGCTCGCACGTTGACAGCGCATGCTAACCTCATTCGCTTGTCCAGGTGATCCTGATGGACCACGTGGACTGGATGGACCCGGAGGCCGCCCAGAACGTGGTGCAGCTCCTCGGCCGCCAGGTGCTGCCTGGGGGCCGCGTCATCTGGCGCTCGGCCTCGCTGTGCCCGCCCTACGTCGCCATGATGGAGTCCGCGGGCTTCGACGTCAAGTGCGTGCAGCGCGCTGACAGACCCGACTGCTACTACATGGACCGAGTGAACATGTACAACAGCTTCTACGTTGCAGTCAGGAGGGCCTCGCTGGGGGGCGGCAACTGAGCCAGAGGAGTGGGATCGAAGCCTCCAGGCGGCTGAAGCACAGCTGCCGGGCGGCTGGGGAGAAGCCACTGGGCATCTGGAGCGAAGCCGCCGGGTACCAGGGTAAGGGCGAGGGAGATTCATGTGTACGTCGCACAAGGGATTGCACGGGCATAGGGGATTCGCTTTTGGCTGCTGGGCTCAAAGGGGTGGACTTCTTGTCAGCTCTCTGTGGGGTGAGTGGGATGGTGCATTTTTATCGTGGCGGGTGCCCTTAGAGGCGGAATTCGTGTCTCTCATTCCAGCGCGGCGCGGCTGGCCGACCCCAGGGGGATTGCAGTACAGCCGGAGCGCCGGAAACTTCAATTGAGTTCCGTTGGGTTGGTGAGGCTGTCCGCATGGGGAGGCGGGGCGGCCGGCGGGGAGAGATAGGGGCTTCCGGTCTCTTTCTGGGATGCTTCTGGTCTCTTTCTGGGGCGCTTCTTGTCTCCTTTTAGAGTGCTGTGCTGTTAGGGAATGGGGTGGGTGGGTGGGTGTCGTGATGGGTGGGATCGATCGCTTTTTTGGAAGCTGAGAGGAAACTGGTGCAGGACAACGAAGTGAGCCGGGAATGTGCGACCGGGACCGAGGCGAGGGACGCATGCACGTGTCTTAGTCATTGCGTCGGGCCCAAAATTCAACCAGGCCCTAAATTATGCAATATTAGGACCTAGGCGGCGACGCCCGTCCTGACGCCTTTTGTGTCACGGGGACCCCCGCGGGTCGCAGATTTTGGGGCAGGGGGGTGGGCGCGCCTCTCCTAACGGGCTGGCGTCTCCTAACGGGTGACGAGCTGCCCTGGTTTAGGTTTAGGAGCAGGCCGGCCCCCACTGAGAAGAGTCGTTGTCAGATGAGACGAGAGGGAAAGGGGCACGTCAGGTGTGTCGTGTGTTCACAATTAATGCAACTATTGGTTCGTTGGCTACTTGGTGGGCTGAGCTGACGGACTCCTTGACCGGGTTGAGTGCCTCGTCACCCTGCAGCATCGTTGGCCGCTCCCGCCCAGCATCGGGACTCAATCGACCCTCGACGCAGTGAACAGGGAGCGCCTTTTTGGTGTCATGTGGGCACAAGAAAGAAACAAGCAGCATCATAACCGAGAACCCAAATAGAGCAGCTAAGTATCACGCAAGACAAAAACAGCATAACCAAGTGTAGGTGCATGTGTACTTCCTTCCTCTGCACACGGCAAGGAAGGCAGCGCACAAGTGCGCACTGTCCAGGACTTGCTGGTGTGTTCCTGGCCTCGTCGCTACATCCAGCACGACTCATTGGCGCACGAAGGGGCTCGGTCATAGTGCAGCAGAAATCCAGTGCGGAGGGATACCGCAATGGAGCTTCCTCACCGGCGGGGATGCGCATCACGCTGCAACCTCGCTGATGGTTGCGCGCTTGTGTCAACTGTATGTGTGCGCCATTTTCAAGGGCCGTCGGCACACCTGAGGCCTCCACGCTGGTCATTTAAGCGTGGTGTGTTGGATCAATTCGAGGCGCATGAGCTGTTGATGCCTGACAGCCACCGGCCAACATACGGCTGCGACTACTGAATCCAGGGTACCTTGAGGCCCATTCTTTGGGTACAGAATACCGACACCCTTGGAACATTGATTTGCGAACCGAACTCCGTCGCCTCCTGTTGGTATGCATCGTGTGCGAGCCATTGGGACGTGGTCCGCGAAACCGTGCTCACCTGTCTGGAACGGCCAAAAATGGCGTTGTTTTGTCTTAGTGATGGGATTCTACCTCGGGCAATGCTGGGTGGGGTGCCGAACAGGCTGTCCCCTTTGTTGCATAGCAGTTCTGCTCCGCCTTTGTCGGGTCTAGATATACTTTTGGTCAAAGTTATTAACCCCAAATACACTATTATCACATAATGGTTCGAGACATTCAATGGTGGCTATTGGAAGGTCAACTTCAGGCCACATTACTTTGGAGCTCTTGGGGACCATCCTTTCGAAGGGGCTGAGTGGTGGGCACTGGTAAGAATTCGACTATTGTACACGGTGTACAATTGCATGAAATCATGTTAAAATCTTGTAAAACCCGGGTACTTTGGAGCACAGTTTTACACGGTTGCCAAAATCGTGCAGTTTTCAGCCCTGTGTAGTACACGAAAATGGCCCACCTTACCTCCGTGGACAACACGATAAAGAACACGGTTTTACACCATTTCACCTGTTTGCCAGCGGCAGCCGTGTACTTTGTGATCAGTACACGATCGGTACACCATCTTTATACGATTTTTACATACATTACACAGTAAACAATTTTCACGACCGTGTAGTTTGGTGGAATTTTCGTTAGGCACTATCCACGGCGCCATTCATATTTTGTTTCATTCCCACCCCTGCCCCCACCCCACCCCAGTCCCGCCCCACCAGTGTGACATTCGGTTTCCTAAACCTATTAGGGCGTGGGATGCAGAGGAGTTAAATATGGATTTTAGGGGCAGACTACAGGGGCATGACAGTACTAGCTCTACATGCATGCAGGGTCGCTGCAACGGTGGTGCCTTTTCCACCCATGGTCGAAAGCCTAATGTACAAGGTGTTCAAGCGCATGGCCCAAGGCGCGGGCACAATATGGAGACGATGGCAAGAGTGGTTACCTCGCCAACGCCGCCCAGGAGGTGGTGCTTATGTGCCCACGATCCAAGCCAACATTTTCAAAGTATCCTGTCAAAGCTTTTTATCCATCCCCATTCGAGATTCCACCATCACAATCGAATGCGCATACCGATGGGTCACACATGGCACAAGTCTAAGGGTTTGGACAGAACTGTGTGGCAACCTTGGTGCACACGGTGCTCAAACGCACTCGACATGCTTGGTCCGACCAGCAACCCAGACTCAACTCAGCTCGTCTTACAACCAAACCAAGGAAAGCCAAGAAGAACACTCGGGTCCTGTTTAAATACCAGAGTACGCTTCTTTCTTCCCTCACTTGAATTCACACTCAGAACGGCAGACTCAACTCGCACTTCTCTCATGAGTGACACGCTACCCCGTAGCATCGACCCCCCCCCACCCCCTACCCCCCCACCATCAATTCACAGCACCAGCTCATGATCACCAAAACTAGTACTTCCTCTGTCCGGAAATAAATGAAACAGTTTGTTTAAGAGGCTATATTTATATCCCACACTTGTGATTTTTCCTTCAAAATTGGACCAAGGTACTGCCTACACATTTGCTATATGTTGCCAAATTTTTGTGGACAATGGATAAGTACCGGCCACGTGGCAGTACTTTGAACCCTTGTGATTCAGGTCAAAAAGTCCAGGTTTCTCAAGGTCTGGCCGAACAGCCCCCAAAACAGGTCCTTGACCAGGTCGCCTTGCGACTGACGGTGCGCAGCCCAGAGTGGATACCTGTTGCTGCCGTCTTGGTGGCAGGACGACACTGTCCCTACCAAAAGAGGAAGAGCACGAAACCGGGTTCTGTACCGCTCGATCCTTGATCGCCACCGTGGTTTTGATGGCCTTATGAGGACAGCAGCTCCGGATCGGAGACCCAGAAATCTGCGAACCTCACAATCACGGCGTTTGTAGAAACGTCCCCCACCATGGGCAAGGACGCCATGGGCTCTGAGACCACCATGTAAGTTTTGGGAGATTGCGATCGTGCCCTCGCTGCGTGGCAGCCAGAAGATCGTTGAAACTGGCTGTGGTGGGCACGTGCCATGAGAAACACTTTGCGCTCCATTCACGCCACTTTCAAAGGCGCTGCTGCAACTAAGCTTCGCCCGTGCTATTGAAAGACGTAAGAGCGCCACCATAACAACACGTGGGGTCTTCAATAGAGCTTCCAAACCCTCCATTGTTATGTTCGGCAGGGTTGAAACCTGTTTGGAAAGAGGGGTTGCTTGCATCTGGAAGGCACTTAATCGGAGATCTATGCTAAACACAGAGCTTATGTTGCGCGCAAATATCCTGCGGCTAGTCTTTAGCCACTAGGAGACCTCTAGGCAGTGGGGGATCCCAGGAATGTCGGTGTGCTGCTGTGGAAGATTGGGGGAATTTCGAGCATCTATCGATGGCGGTACGCAAACATAGGTGCCAATTCCGTCGATCGTGCGTTGCGAAGGGTGTCGATCTTTGGGCTAGAGCCCGAGCGCCAAGGCAACTCCACCCTTCTGTTACTTTGAAGACCACTGGAAAGGGCATCACTCGTGCGCCGCGCTTTCCTGGGTCCGGGGCGCTAGGTTTTGGTGGGGTGGGGACTGACTGCAAATGTTCAAATTCTGGTGCTGAGTCGCTTGGCTTCAAAGTACTGCCATATGTCTGAATCTCATTTTCTGTCGATAATTTTTTGACAGGATTGTCTAAACACATAGTAGATACGGTGGTTTGATTTTGAAGGAAAAATAAAGAGTACATGATAAAAATGTGGTCAGTCAACAAATTGTTTCATTTAATTCC